TAGAGGAAGACTCATTCATTCATAACATGAGATATGCAGATGATGCAACCTTGCTTGCTGAAAGTGAAGAGGACTTGAAGCACTTACTGATGAAGATCAAAGACGATAGCCTTCAGTATGCATTACACCTCAACAGAAAGAAAACAAAAATCCTCACAACTAGACCAATAAGCACATCATAATAAACAGAGAAAACACTGAAGTTATCAAGGACTTCATTTTACTTGGATCCACAGTAAATGCCCATAGAAGCAAGTCAAGAAATCAAATGACGTCAATGCTAGAGGCCCTAATACACTGCATAAATAGGATACAAACCATAACTAACAATACACAAACACCAGAAGATAAACTAGATAACTGGGATCTTCTAAAAATTAAACAGTTATGCTCATCAAAAGACTTCACCAAAAGAGTAAAAAGAGAATCCACAGACTGGGAGAAAAATTTTGGCTATGACAAATCTGATCAGTGTCTAATCTCTAAAATCTATGGGAAAATCCAACACCTCTACAACAAAAAGACAGATAATCCAATTAAAAATGGGCAAAGGATATGAACAGACACTTCACCAAAGACATTCAGGCAGCCAACAGACACATGAGGAAATGCTCAAGGATCACTAGCCATTAAAGAAATGCAAATCAAAAGTACAACATAATACCATCTTACCCCAACATTACTGGCACAAATCAAAAATACAGAAAATAACAAATGTTGGAGAGGATGCAGGGACACTGGAACTCTTATGCACTGCTGGTAGGAATGCAAAATGGTACAAGCATTTTGGAAAATGATATGGCACTTCCTTAAAAAGCTAGAAATAAAAATACCATACAATCTAGCTATCCCACTCCCAGGAATATACCCTAGAGAAATAAGAGCTGTCACACAAATAGACATATGCACACCCATGCTCACTGCAGCATTATTCACAACAGCGAAAAGATGGAAACAACTTAAGCTTCCATCAACAGGGATTCAAACCCAGCCAATCCGGCTCCATATTCTTAATCACTTCACCTATACTACCCTTCATATATTCTGGATATTAATCCTTTTTCAGCATATGCATTATATAATAATTTTATCATTATTTTTCTTAATTTTCCACTTGAAATGGAAAATTTCAAATATATACGTAGCAGACAGAATGGTATGATGAACCTCTATGTACTCATCACCTAGTTTCAGCCATTATCAACTCATAACTAGATGCCGTCAAGTCAATTCCAACTCATGGCAACCCCATGTATGTCAGAGTAAAACTGTGCTCCACAGGGTTTTCAGTGGCTGATTTTTTGGAAGCAGATCTCCAAGCTTTTCTTCTGAAGCACTTCTGGGTGGAATCGAACCTCCAACCTTTCGGTTAACAGTAGAGCATATTAACGGTTTGCATTACCCAGGGAGTCTATCAACTCATAGCCAATCTTGTTTCAATTATATTCCACTCACTTTATATCTCCCCTAAGAAGCCCTGGTGATGTGGTGGTTGAAGTGCTCAGCTGCTAACCAAAAGGTTGGTGGTTTGAATCCACCAGTGGCTCCTCAGGAGAAAGATGTGGCAGTCTGCTTCTGTAAGATTTACAGCCTTGGAAACCCTATGGGGCAGTTCTACTCTATCCTATAGGGTCACTATGAGTTGTAATCGATTTGACAGCAGTGGGTCAGTGGGTTTATCCCTTCCATATTATTTTGAAGCAAATCCCACACATATCATTTCCTCTATAAATATTTCAATATGTATCTACAAAAGATAAGAACTCTTTTTTTAACACAAAAATACAATTATTACACCTAAAAAATAGTAACGATTCTTCAGCAATGATATTTTTAATTAAGTAAAATTTTTTGAAAAAAAATCCTTTTTGAAACAAAGCTCTAACTGTAATTTTAACTGCTACATTTCTCTAATAGTATCATCTAGTTAATTTTGCCTTCTTCTTGTGATACAAAGCCAAAAAAGCCAACGTTAGTAAAACAATTTTCCCTATAATTAAAGATGAGAAACAGGAAAGTGAAGTAGTGAATACTGAAACTGAAAAGGCTGAGCCCAGAAAATAATACACCAACTGATCTATTTCTCATCATTTCTAGCCCCCAATGTTATCTATTCATCTGAAATTGCAGGGACTCTAGGGGTTTGTGGCAAGAACACTGGCATAGAGTCAAATTCTTCACTGAACAGGAACCACTAAAGGAGTGGGCAAGAGATTTGAGGTGGGAGCCAAGACAGAGAGGAGAAAGAGATTTTCAACAATTTTCCTTGTTCAAATAAATGGATATTGATGACACTTGGGAGAGGAGAGTCCTCTTTAGAGAAAGGAAGGGCCAGAGAAGGCCTTTGTCTGAAATCAAAGTACAATTGCTATTAACCTGTTACCATCCAGTTCCAAATTCTAGTCTACTTATTCTGAAAACCATTTTTGTCAGCTGGAGCATCACCTAACTTCTATGTTAACTACTTCCTGACAAGAGAACTAACCATACCAGATGAATGGGAAAGCAGACCATTTATCTTCTATTATCTAAGCCCTACACTGAGTAAGACTCAGAATCAGTTCCTGTTTCGGTCTATCCCGAAAAGAAGCAAAACCCTCTGCATAGTTCATGTCTAGCCATAACCTGGTCCTACTCCCATCAACATGCCCTGGATTCATCAACAGTAGAGATCAAGTGGGCCTGAGTTATTTCAAGGGCAGACACTACTCTGTAACTCTTGAGTTATTTTCCAAGGAGGGTTACTGCTCTGACATATTAAAAACAAAACAAAACATCCCAGGGAACATCTAGCTCAACTGGCATAACAGTTTATAAATATAATGTTCGGCATTCTACCTTGGTGAGTAGGGCATCTGGGGTCTTAAAAGCCTGTGAGCAGCCATCTAAGATACTCCACTGGTCTCACCCCTTCAGGAGCAAGGGAGAATGAAGAGAACAGGATACAAGGAAAAGATCAGTCCTTTGGACCACAGCTACCACAGCCTCCACCAGACTGAGTCCAGTACAGCTAGATGGTGCCCGGCTACTACCACTGACTGCTCTGACTGGAATCACAATAGAGGGTCCTGGACAGAGCTGGAGAAGGATGTAGAACAAAATTCTAACACACAAAAAAAGACTAGATTTACTGGCCTGACAGAGACTGGAGAAACCCCGAGAGTATGGCTCCTGGACACCCTTTTAGCTCAGTGGTGAAGTCGCTCCCGAGGTTCCCTATTTAGCTGGGGATTGGACAGCCTCATAAAACACAACGGGACTAAAGAGGCACAACAGTTCAGGGACAAGGAATAGAAAGCAGGAGGGGACAGGAAAGCTGGTGATAGGGAACCCAAGGCTGAGAAAGGAGAGTGTTGACATGTCGTGGGGTTGTTAACCATTGTCATAGGGCAATATGTATACTAACTGTTTAATGAGAAACTATTCTGTTCTGTAAACCTTCATCTAAAGTACAAAAAAAAAAAAAAATTATCTATGTGAGATCAAACTGACAACAGTAACTCAAAAGGTCTGATGGGAAGCCTAAGGGGCAATGAGTTGAAGATAATGGTGATGGAATAATTTGGAAAAGGATAGTGAGAATAGCAGCACAACTGGAAGAATGTAATCAATATCACTGAATTGTACATGTAGAAATTTTTGAAATGGTGTATCTCTGGCTATGTATATTTTCACCAAAATAGAAAAAAGGTCCTCCAAGGTCAAGAAGGGAGAGCACTGACATGTTGTGGGGTTGTTAACCAATGTCATAAAACAATATGCATACTGACTGTGTAATGAGAAACTATTTGTTCTGTAAATTTTCACCTAAAGTACAATAATATATATATATACAAAAGAAAAAAACAAAACCAAAACCAAAAATTAACTCTACTGGGCTGTAAGCTGTCTCTTCTTAGGAGGGTCTCACGCTCCTCTTTGGTATGTGATTAGCAGCAGCTGCTCCTCTTCTGACCTGTGTCCTCCCAGTGCTCTCACACTCACCGGGGGCTCATACTCTTATCACACGCTTTAGCCTTGGTTCTCAACTCACATTTCACACAAGGCCTGCAGTGTCAGAACCTGCTGCCCTGTCTTTCTGTCCCTTCTGTCCTCAAGGCCTTGCGAGTAGCTTGCTAGTGAAGGGACCAGCTCCCTGAAGCGACTACTGAGGGTTTCAGGCACCTTGACCTCAAAGCCTTCCAATCCGAAGGGATTTCCACATATCTTGATATATTACTTATCTGTCATACAGGATGGTCAGTCTGTGGTCCCTATATCACATGATGGACACAAAGCCTAGAAACTTGTCTAACAGTCGGTCACTTAGCTTTTCAGCCTTGGCTATAACTGAATAGTCTGGCTGTGTCTGCGCTGAAGGGGTAAAAGGGATGGGATATAAAGGTTGGTTTCCCAGAAATGTCACAGACCAATTTGATTCACATATTAAAAAGCAAAAGTCTCACACCACTGTCAATATTGTCAAACTACAGATCATGATCCAAAGGTTTCTCTTACCAATCTTTTCTTAGAGACTCTTTACAGAGTTATGCAGAACCTTCCATTCCCAGTGTGGAGATCCAGCCTATACTAAAAGTGCCACTGTCACCTGTGGTCCCTTAGCTAGAAGTGATTTCCACCAGGAGTTCCTAAAGTTTACATTCCAAACTTTCTGAAAACCTCATACTCAATTATGAGCACTTATCCTATAATATTCTGATGCTGCTACAAGGTCAACTTTAATGCAGTGGCATCAAAAAAGCAGTCAGTTCAGCAATGGTTTTATCCCCAACTACTCTACATCTATCCAACACAAAGATAAAAGCTAACTTTGACATTCTCTCTTATTCAGTGATATCCAAATACGTGTATACCCCAGGAGCCTCACTGCCTTCTTTCCCATCATAACACACACACACACACACACACACACACACACACACACACATTTTTATATTGAAAAGCCCAAGGAGCTTCTTGCCCAACCACATAGGAGATATTTTCCAATGACCACTTTTCCTTCCAACTGTAGGTAATCTCCAAATTCTGTAATAACAGAGGGCACTAAGATGGGCCTATCCATGGGGGAAATTCCTCCCCACAGAAGAGATTTTAAGCACAGGACATCTTAAAATTTGTGTCTATCCTTGGCCTCATGCTATTGATAATAAGCCTGGCACCAGCAGGCAGGCCACATCTCCGCTCTGCATACACCAGAGAAGCTGTATAGTACCAACTGTAGAGTACCAGCCTAAGTAAGCAGTGTCTGCCCTACTTCATCTTCCACCCCTTGCAGCTCTGAGATTCTAAAGTATTTTTCTTCTGCTGCAGAGGATGACATGCCAACAAAAGTTCTTCACCCCTTGGTGAATTCTAAGTTCAATCACATACCTACATGCTAGGCCCTGTTCCACTCAGGGTCCTGCTGAGTCTACCTCCTCCTCTCAGTGTCCTCCTGATCATTTGAATTCTCACTTGCTCCTGGACTCTTAAAATGATTCACAACACTCACCACCACCACATATACACATATATAAACACATACACATACATACATATACATGCACACAAATATGTATGTATATATATACATAAATGTAATCACAATGTCCTAAACAAAAACATGTTAAAGCCCTAAACAAGTCCAATCACAAAACAAACTTAAAAAAACCTGGAACCTTCAAACTTCTCTAATCTCCCTGCCCCCAACTAATCTCCACATAACTCTATGTCCCTCTCCTTTAATGATGGAACACTGAGAAAACCAAAGGAGGATGGGCACTCTCTACCTATACAAATATTGAATGAGTGCTGTCATCAGAAGTCCTCCTGCAGGAGTGGGACTGCATCAGCTCTAGTCAGTACACCACTCCTCAGGGGAGAAGCACTGAAGACAAGCTGCTTCACTCCCAGTCCCTTCAACATTTCTCACACTCATTTCAGAGATTCAGCTAGGCCTCCCCATCATCCTTTGTGCTACACCGCATCTTCTTGTTGCAGGGAAGCTGGTAAAAAGACCTGCCTGAGAGTAAGTACTATCTAACACTGCACCTTTAGAGATAACCCCACCAGACAGCTTGAGCAATTATGCCGCTTGGTTACTCAGAATCAGAACTTCTCCAGAGACAACAAGACTTGGTTTCAAGCATCAAGGGACAGATCTGAAATAGACTCTGCTTGCCCCAGACCGAGCAGTCACTAACTCACAGTACCTGACATAGGGATGAGTTTGGGAAGAAGCACCAAAAATCTTCACTGCTCACCACACCCCACTTTAGTAAGTTTGAAGGCCAGGACTCTAATCAGCTGTTTGATTATGTCATGAACATGCCCACCTACCTCCTCCAGACCCCATGATGGGGTGTGGCTTGCCTCCAAAGAGGCATCCTCTTCTGAGAAGGATGTGGAACTCTTTTCAGGTTCTGTATCCTTAGGCTGAATCCCCCGTACGTGTGGCCCATCACTGCCATAGCCAGAGGAGGAGGGCAAAATGCTCACAGTCATGCCACTGATGGATAAATCACTCTGAGAAGTAGGCAGCCTGGAACCCTGGGGGGGCACTTGACCCATGTGGGCAGGCTCTGCACATCTATGGCCTCCTGACTGGTCCAGCAGTGATGAAGGAACAGAACATTCAGCAATCCAGGAACCCATCTGAGGGGCACCTGAAATACCCCTGGGTCCTCCCCACACACTCCTGCCCTCTGAAAGTTGGTCTTGATTTCCTCTGTCAGTGGGGCAGTCTGTCCTGGGCAAAGTGCTGCTCTGAAATCCAAGCCGAGTTCCTGCTTTCTTCACTGCAGTCTCTCCTTGCAAAGGTAGCAGCACAGCCCTGCTGCTGCAGGATGCTGTCCTTGGAAATTCCACCAGTTGGCTCACTGACTTCTCACAGTTCCTTTCTGCTGGGTTATCAAGCAGGTGAGCAACAACAGTCATACCCTCTTCCAGGGAATCCCAGACCCCTCCAGCAACTGATGACTCATTCTTTAACAAAAGGTGAGCAGTTTGGACCTCCCCCTGGAATCTCTCCTTTACCTGTACGATCATTCCGTGGTCCCCCATGCCTGAGTTGGGGGCAGAGTCCCCAGGCAGTAAAATGTCTGAGGGGGGATGCTCTACCCCTCCCACTCCTTCCTCCTTTCCGAGACTCACTGTTAACTTTGTTAGGGTTTCAGTCTCTTCAATGGCTCCAGTCCCTTCCAAAGGTTCTTCCTCATGAGATGCCTCTGGAGTAGGGGTTTTCTTCCCCCTCCACTTCCTTTTGAACCGAACCCTTTTCTTAGGAGATATGGGAGCCTTCTCAGGAATAGCTATTGACTCTTTCGGCTCCTTAACACAGCCGAGTGAATTTCCCATGTCTTTCCTCTCTTAATCTCAGCAAAAACACAGCTAAGCCAGTCCTGTGATCCCAGAGAAATCCCAACCTTGGCTTCATCGGATTAGACGCAGATTTAAAAACATGCACTATGCCAGCGGCAATCCCTCCAATTCTTTCTCCCTCCCTCCCCGCCTCTCTGTCTCTTCCAGCCGCTGCCGATTCAGACAGCCATCTTACAGGCTCAGAGCTGCAACAAGACAAATTCAAAGCATCTCACTGCAGTTCAGAAATCACTTGACCTAAAAGCAGACAGAAACCGGATTGGCTGCAGCTTCCTCTCTCCAAATATGAGGTAATTGGAGCACTGCCCTCAGTAACACAAACAGAAAGCAAAAAGAAGCTAGAAACCAGGGGAGGGGAGGAATCAGGGAGGGTGAGTAGTGGGGTGGGGGGAATGTTAGAGTAAATGAAAGAGGGAGGGGAAAAGAAGAGAGGCCGTGGGAAAAGGTAACGAATGTGAAGGGAGGAGGAGGAGAACAATATCAAAGAGGGAAAAAGCAAACCAGCTAGGCTGGTACCAGCAAGGGAAGGGAAGGGCCAAGAAGAATCAGGGCTGGGAAGTTGCATGTATAGCCCCCAAACTAGGAAGTGAAACAGATTTCGACTCTTGCAGGAAGGTGTCCAAAAGAAAATATCAAACAAGATATACGTGTTCTCAATTTTTTTAGATCAATATACAATAAAATTATTTTAAGCAAATTAAAACCTGAAAAGAGACCAGATTATATTCCTCTCAGTTAAGAAAAGGAACACAGGTTTTAAAAAGATCTAACCTCCTGTAGTATGTATTTCCCTATTAAAAAAAAAAAAAAGAAAAAAAAAGCTCTGTTAATTCTGCTGGCCAATGACACACAGAGGAGGATAACCCTAGAAATCGGTTTTGGGTATAGTATATGGAGGTTTACTAAAACAAACAACACAACACCACCACCACTTCCAAATACATCAGAAAAGCAGGGTCTCCACTAAACAATATTTGACACAAATGCTCAACAATAATTACTGCTGCTACTGCTGCTGATATTAACATTTTTGGGCACATTTTATGCACCGAGCACTGTGCTAGCTACTTACATGGCTTATCTCATTTAGTTCTCACAGTAACCATATGAGGTTCAATCTATTATTTTACATTTTAAAGATGAAGGAGCCTCGAAGTTTAAGAAAGCTGACTAATTTGCCCAAGGTAACACAGATAGCACATGGCAAAGCCAAAACGTGAACTTCTGTTTAATTCTAAGACTTTTAATCACTAAGTTATGCTACCTTCCAACTGCAGTAAGGTGTAAATCCATTCTCAGTTGAGTAAAACACAAAGATCTCCCGCTGTTCTGAACTGGCAACTAGTCTTGCTTGGACCGAGGGCTCACAGACTGCTGCCATTTGGAAGCGCGGAAGCAGCCAAAATGAGGCCCAGGTGCTTTATTCAAACTATACTAGGGCAGGAAGTCTGAATTACAGGTTTAAAAAGTGGATTCAAAAATCACCCTGTGATACCAATAGGATCCTCCTTCCCCAGTTTAGTACAGTATCTGACAGATGAGATAACACCAACATAAAGGGCTCTGAATGGCAATGAAGAAAACATGTGATGTGTTTCTTCCCTACTGCCACTGTTTATTCTATACCAAAAGGCCGTGCAACAGATGGAAAAGTAGCCTGCCTGGCTCTATGTAGGCCCTAAAGTCGTGTACCAGCACAGTCCTACTCACCTTTCTGGAGACAAAAAATTCCCTCCACAAAAGGAAAGTATGTTGGTTGAAATGGTGTTTTGTTACCACATTAAAAAACAAAAACCAAAAACAAAAAAACAAAAAAAATTTTTTTTTACAGGGAAAGTAATAAGAAGCCCCAAAGCAACAGCTCCTATACAACCTGTTCTGCGACCCTACCACTGATGCCCCATCCGCCTCCTAACTGCAGTAGGTGTTTCTCTCCTAAGCCTTTTTAAAAACTGACTACAAAGCTGCAGCACCATCTTACGGCCATTATAAACCACAGTAAAAACAAGAAGAGGAGATAGGACAGGAGAGAAACTCAATCAGATTACAGTAAATCATTTAATAAGCAAAAAAATCTGACACTACAATGTGAAGTTCTCTAGGGCTTTCACTCCTACAACAAAAAGAACTAGAACCATGGAATTTTTAAGTTGTACACCCTAAGGGCTGGCCTTGATCCACTGTATTTACTCATGAAATACACACAAACCAAATTCCTAAAATTGGTCAACTCAGGAGCAAGAGAGACAGCTGCTTAATACAATTGCTACTGCTGTGGGGGTTTCTTTGAGATGCCTGACAAAACCTAGCATATTTACTTCTGTGAGCCTTTTCTCTTTTAAACTTCTGCATATGTCATGCTAATTAGGCTTTCATTTCCTTCTGCTCCAGAGGAAATCTGGTCTAGGAAAAGGAGCAGAGATTTCAGAAAGGCGGACCTAGGTTCAAATCCCAGCTCTGATAACTTATTAGCTAAGTAACTTAACTAATTTATGAATACTATCACTTAATGGAGTTGCAGAGAGGGTTAATGAGATAATCTCATGTCTATAAAGTACTTGGCTCAGTGCCTGGTCTACAGTAAATTCCTTTTCTTCCTATTTATTACAGGCAAACTGGAACTAAAAGGTATGAGACCCACCCTCCAGGGGCCCTGATATACTTTTTCTTGACTAGGCCCTAAAACCAAAAAACCCACTGCCATCGTGTCGACTCTGACTCATAGTGACCCTATGACAGAGTAGAACTGCCCCCACAGGATTTCCAAGGAACACCTGGTGGATTCGAACTGCTGACTTTTCAGTTAGCAGCCGTAGCTCTTAACCACTAAGCCACCAGCGTTTTTTTTTTTTTTTTTTTTTAGGCCCTAAGGCGAGTATATTTATTCCAAGGTCCAAAGTTTGAGTGCTTGTTTTTCCTTTTTACGGACTGCTTCCACTATTTTACTAACTCTGATCACAAGGACTTTCCTCTGGACCTTTTTCTCATGTAGTCTGGGCTCTTAACACATCTACTGCCTTCTGGGAAAACAGACTTCACATCTTCTCCTTTGGCTTTTTCTAGTTAACTGTTTACTGTCCATAGGTCCCCCACCTGTACCAAAAAAACCCACTGCCATCTTAGCAACCCTAGAGGACACAGTAGAACCCCACAGGGTTTCCAAGGATGGCTGGTGGATTCAAATGACACAGAGATAGCCAAAATTCCTAACTGAAAGAGTTCATTCATTCATTCCACAAGCATAAATGGTGTTTCATCTATACACCAAGTGCTAAGTACCATAGAGTACACAAAAATGTAAACCCTAAGTCAATCAGTTAAGATCACCCCCTTATCTGATCTCCCTGAATTTTTTTAAATGAAGAAACCTTTGTTTAAGAAAGCTGATTAATCTGCCCAAGGTAACACCACTAGTAAGTGGCAAAGCCAAAACATGAACTTCTGTTAAAGCTAAGACTTTGTGTGTGTGTGTGTGTGTGTGTGTGTGTGCATTAAGTAAAAGTTTACAGAGCAAATTAGATTCCTATTTGATAGTTTATACATAAAGTGTTTCACAGCCTTGGCTTCATTCCCCACAATGTGTCAGCACGCTCCCCATTTCCACCCTGGGTTCCCCCTTCCTGCCTTCTCATCTTTGCTTTGGGGCAAATATTGCCCTTTTGATCTCATACAATTGATTGTTCTAAGGAGTACATCCCTCTCAGGTGTTATTGTTTACTTTAAGGGCTTGCCTATAGTTTGGCTGGAAGGTGGTTTCCAGGAATGGCTTCAGTTCCAGGTCACAAGGGTGTCTTAGGGTCATAGTCTTGGGGGTTCCTCCAATCTCTTTCAGACCAGTAAGTCTGGTCTTTTTTGTGAATTTGATTTTTTGTTCTACGTTTTTCTCCTGCCCTGTCCTGGACCCTCTGTTGTGATCCCAGTCAAGAGTGGTCAGTAGTGGTAGCCAGGCACCATCTAGTTCTTCTGGTCCTGGGGTCATGCAGGCTGTGGTTTATGTGGTCCATTAGTCCTTTGGACTAATTGCTCCCTTGAGTCTGTTTTGTTTTTCCACTGTCCTTTGCTATGGACTGGAAGAGACCAAAATAGTTGTATCTTAGACCGCTGCTCGCAAGCTTTTAAGATCCCAGACGTTACTCACCAAAGTAGGATGTAGAACATTGTCTTTATGAACTATATTCTGCCAAGTGACACAGATTTCCCCCCAAGTCTATGGTCCTTTGTCTTTGATCCTAGGAACTTCATCCCGTGAATAGTATGGTTAAGTCTAAGAGGTTTCCCTGACTGTGCCACTTGTGTGCTCTATTGTCTATATAGATTAATATATGAGAAGAACCTCCAGTCATGTATGTAGAAATATCCACCACCAAACCTGTATCTGCTGGTGGGCGTGCTCCCTTCCACCCTCCCACACCTCTTGGCATATCTATCTACCTATGTATCCATTCCTAAATTATTGTTTGTTAACACTATTGCTGCAGGACTGTCTATGCTATAGTAGTTACCGTAGTTGCCCTTTATTCTTGTGTTCCTCTCTTGCCTTGGTCATGTTGTGCTGATTTCTCCCATATTGTGTAGTGCCTTTCCCTTCACAAATACTTTATGTCTATTTTTTTCTTCTCATGTACTGTCTTACCCTTCACCAAAGTTACCACTTATCTACTGTCTATTTCCCTTCACAAAAATTAAAGTGTTTACTATCTGTTTGGTAATTTTCCCTCCCTCACCCTCCCATCCCTGGTAACCATTAAACAATGTTGTTGTTTTCTTCTGTGTATAAACCTTTAGTGTTAGTTGATAATAGTGGTCTCATACAATATTTGTCCTTTTGTGACTGACTTATTTCACTCAGCATAATGTCCTCCAAATTTATCCATGTTGTGAGATGTTTTGCTGATTTGTCATTATTCTTTATATGTGCATAGTATTCCATCACGTGTATGTACTGCAGTTTATTAATCCATTCAGCTCTTGATGGACACTGGTTGTTTTCACCTTTTTGCTGTTGTGAATAATGCTGCAATGAACATGGGTGTGAATATGTCTATTTGTGTCACGGCTCTTATTTCTTTAGGGTATATACTTAGGAGTGGGATTGTGGGATCATATAGTATTTCTATTTCTAGCTTTTTGAGGAAGCCACATACAGTTTTCCGTAGCGGTTGTACCATTTACATTCCCACCAGAAGTGTATAAGAGTTCCAGTCTCCCTACAACCTCACCAACATTTGTTATTTTCTGTTGTTTTTATTAGTGCCAGTAATGTCGGGGTGAAATGGTACTCACTGTAGTTTTGATTTGCCTCTCTCTAATTGCTAA